AATGCAGTAAAGAATAGACCCGTGAGTAAACTAAGCGTGCCAGGGTAGCAAGCAGGTTCGTGCTTAATATTTTCATACGTGCGGTCTTATCGTTGGAAAAAAAAAACGAAAAAAAACGAAATGAAAAAAAAACGAAGAAGAGGAAGAAAGAAAAAAAAGTGTATACACATACACACACACATAAGACACTTATATGCACACGCACACGCACACGCACACGCATATATATAGCAGCAGAGGAAAACTAAGGAGGCAAGATACGAGGTTGAATTTTATTTTTCTCAGACGCGTATTTAGAAGGTTCTTTTTCATCGTTTCACGTGGTGGAAACTCCTCGCGGTAGCTTTTACGCCGCCTAAGAGGCGTGGTTGATTACAGCGGCGAAGGGTCAGAATTTTATTTAAACATTTCAAGCTCACCCACAACCTCTTTCTTTTTTTTTTCTCTCTTTCTGTTTCTCTCTCTTTCTACCATCTTTTCAAAATGAGAGGGAACAGCGCGCACACGGTCTACTTTATATTATTCAACGCACTGCCACCAAAGGTATGCATTTTCCCGTTGGATATAAATCCAAGTTGGTTTGGTTGTGTTGGTTAGTGGTGGTGGTGGTGGGTAGTGTTGGTAATCGTTAAATAGAAAAAATGTCACCCAACGTTACGCGAAATATTCTTCCACGATATTTTCTTATCGATTATTCATACCAAAACGCAAATTAATTTTTTTTTTCTTAAATTTAAAATCTTCATCGTCATATTTTATTTAAAGTAAATTTATTTTATATTTAATTATATAAAATTCGAATTATTTTACATTAATTTACAAAGTTCATAAAAAACGTGTCTATATATTCCCTTCCACCCCTAGAAAAAAAAAAGAATTCAATTACAATGGAAATGAATGAATAACAAAAATCAACAAAACTTTCATTTGAACGTATTATCTTGATTTAGATTATAATTAATAATATAATAAAATGTAAATTATTCCTATGGGAAAATGTGAATTTTCTATTGGACACGAAACAGTCTATAGGGTATTCATGACCATATATAGAGGACATACGAGTACTGTGATGGTCTTAACATAAATACATAAACGTCCAGTCAGCGTAGAGACTCAGCAGCATCAGCAGCAACGGCTCGTCATCGAGCTGTAGTCACAGTCACCACCTCGGGAGTCCCATATACCCAGATCGGGAATAGGAGGATTCGCACAGTTGACGCATCCTACTACTACTACTACCACTACTGTTACTGTTACTGCTGTTGCTGTTGCTGTTGCTGCTGTACGCGTTACTTACTGTCAAAGCATCAGGAACGTGAGCATGAGAGGATAGGATTAGTGAATACTAGGGAGAGAGAAAGCAAATAGATAGACTGATACATAGATACATATATAGATAAATAGAGAGAGGGTGAGAGAGAAGGGGAGAAGGAGAAGGACAGAAGCATCCGTTTCGGATGTGTGTAGAGTACGAATGGTAAGCAGGAATGCAACGACATGTTGCTGTTACTACTTGATGTTCTCGAAGAGAGGGAGAGAGAGAGAGAGAGAGAGAGAGAGAGAGAGAGAGAGTGTCTGTGAATAATCTCATTGACCTTTTATTTCTTTTCATACTCAAATCTTATCAAATCAATCGAATCGAATAAAAATTCAAAGAGCCATATCCTTAAATAAATGTTAGAAAAAGATTCGATTAAAACAAGTTCTCTTAGAATTCCCATTGATATCTCAACTTACACACATATACATATATACACTTTAAGATCGAACTTTTTATCGATCCAAGTACGCAATTCGTTCAAAGAAACTTAACTAACTTCGTTTATCATGGATTTTAGTATTAGAAAATGTGTCATAGAAACAGAGAGAGATAGAGAGAAAAATAAGAAGGAAAAGAATAAAAATAAGAATAAGAAGAAGAAGGAGAAGGAGGAGGTAGTAGCGTGGGAGTATTGTTAGGAGGAGAGAACGACCGCGCGGAATGTCTTCTTCGTAGTGAATGCTAGGAAGAGGGGAGGGGGGTTGCATAGAAGTGAAGAGAAGAGGAGAAAGAGGATGAGAGGAGGATGAAGAGAGAAATGGGTGGGTGTGTTAGGAGAGGTGAGGTGAGGTGAGGTGAGGGAAAGTGAAGAAGGGTGCAGAACGGTACCGGTGTACTTGGGGGTGGTACTGGAGGGAGAGGTGAACTCGCGTTCGTTCGAAAGAGAGAGGGAGAGAGAGAGAGGGTGTGGGTGTAGAGGAGGAGGAAGAGAGGTGGTAGGAAGAGGGGAAGAAGGAAAGAGAAGGCATCGTTCGCGAGAGCCAGAGTGTAGTTGTAGTCGTAGTCGTCGTCGTCGGTGCGTGGAGCGCAGGCGTGCGCCTTCCTCGCGGCTCGAATCCCGCCGTATTCCAAAGAGGAACACGCCACTCCGCCCCCGGCACGGCAGCCACGCGTCACTCTAACCCGACTGACCTCCTGTCCCTAACTTTGCTCCTTCGATTCCTCGCTAAGTGTGTGCAAACCCTTCTCTGTGTGACCGTTAAACGTTCAAATCCTTTTTCATAGTTCAACACAGTTCAAATTATTTATTATATTTTGTTCTCTTCATTCTTTTTTGCATTAATCGTGTTAATTGTGCGTGACGTGATCGGTCAAAAATCAGTTGTCGTTATTATTAATATTATCACAATCAACGAACGATTATTTAATAGATAAACACCACTTTAATTATATTCCTATATATTTTTGTTCTTATAATTCATCTGTTAAAGTTGTACCAAAATGCCGGTTATTATTACGATCGTTAAATTTTATTATCAATTGGTATCAAGAAAATAGAGATAATTATCGAGTGGTTTTGGTGGTTGTTATTTTTGGGGAAGGTGGTAGTTGTGGTGGTGCTGGTGGTGGTGGTGGTGGTGGTGGTGCTGGTGATAAACCGAACCAAGAGCAGAGAGATGCTTTGTCGTTGTCTATGATTCGTAAGATCGATTTGAATGGAAGAAAAAGGGTGGTATGACGATGGAGAAGAATAGAACGGTGGAACGTTGGAAAAAGAAGGATGATGAATGAGTGAACGAACGAAAGAACGAGAGGGGGAATCCTAGCGAAGCTCAACATTACGGGAAATATCTGTGCTTTGGTAAAAAAAAAAAAAAAAAAATATGACAGAACGTAATAATTCTACAGACGTAGGAAAGAGTTTCACCTGGGAGACAGGAGCATCTACGAATAATGGGAAAGAAGAATGGAGGGATGATTGTGTAATTCAATAGACATTTACTCGCCTAACGTTCGTATGTTTTTCACGAGAGACTTCAATCCCTTCTTCGGTCGGTCTCTCTTTTTTTTCCTTTAACATTTCTTCTTATTTTTTTTTTTTCATTTTTTTGTCTTCTTAAAATATAATTCACGTATTAATAATTATTAATATTTTCTTGGTGACGAAAGACCATTCGAGATTTAGGTTAAATCAGTGAAAAATATTTTAAAACAGTGCAAAACGGTGTTTCCCCACTTTTTTTTTCATCTCTCCAAAAAATATTTACGGTATCGGGTGGTCCTTTATAAAATATAGTCATCAAAAGTTTTGCTTTTTATTTCTTTAAAAGAAAAGTTAAAAGAACCTGTTACTTTTTTCACGTTGTAAAATTCTTTCGTTGTTAATTGCATAGATTGAGAGATTAGTGTAAAAAAATAAAAAAAAAGGTTAGAAAACCATATATGCATATATACATATTGTTAGATTAAAGTTGACGTTCGAAACGGCAACACGGCGTGAATCGACTATCGACCACGTGCCAAGGGTGGAAAAGTCCTAGACTTTCGTTTTACGTTCGACACACTTCTCTCTCTCTCTCTCTCTCTCTCCTTTTTTCTTTCTGTCTTTCTTTCTCTCTCTCTCTGTCTCTCATTCAATCATTATCTCTGTAATTGTTTTTATTTTTCAAAACAAACGCTTATATTTCATCGTAAGGATCGAAAACAAGGGCCTTTTGTTGTTAACATACGCGTACATCGATGAGATACACACGTTGTTGTTGTTCTCTAGTTCTAATCTAGATTAAATAAATAAATAAAATATATAGAAAAGTTAGTTAATAAACGTTGTTGACGGTAGTGAAATCAAATTTATCATTAATAACATTTTCGAAAGGAATAAATAATACAAGTAACACGGAAGATTTAATTTAGCGTTTTAGATTAGTAAAGTATATATGATATATATATATATATATATATATATATATATATATATATATATATATATATATATATATATATAAAAGTGTTATTTATACGTTTTAATGTTTTCGAGTTGAAAAGTTAAAGGAAGTTACTAGTCAAGGATCATTATTCCATTGTTATCGTATTTATCGTGGTATTTATAAAAAAAAAGAGAGGGAGAGAGAAGAATTTAATCGAGTGCCTGGTAAAAAAGAACTCGTGAATAATAGTAAATAAAAAGAAATAAAAAAAATAAGAACGCATACATCTAAAAAAAAGTATTATAGAAAAAAGGAAAGAAGGAAGGAAGGAAAGAAGGAATCCACATTCAAGCACATCCACCTACTCACACAAACACACACACACACGATGTAGAATAAAAACGGTCGAAGTAGACGGTTTTAAAGTGGCCGCGAACATATCGATCTTAACCAAGTGCAACATGTCCCGAAATATCCCGATAAGTTACACAGACGAGTACGACGTGAATGTACGGATCTGCGCGCGTCGAGTGGCTTCGTGAAATACGCGATAAAACGTAGCCAAACGTTTTCCTCTAACAGAGAAATTCGTTTCGTTCCGCTCCGTTTCGTTTCGTTTCGTTTCTCGTTTCGGATAATGCACGACTGGGAAAGAGACAACTGATAAAACTCGATCTGTTGATCGATAAGAATCGAAAGAGAGAGAGAGTTTGGTCGTCGATCGAATGGATCGAACGTGCCGGCTTCGGAGGATCACGAAGCCGTGCACCTAATCCAAATGGGCGAACCGAAACCCACTTCATCTCCGCAGCCCAACGGCGGAGTAAAGCAAAAGCCAACTAGCCTAAATCTAGCCCCTGGTCCAACTTTCTATCGTAACGTTAATGGACGAGCAAGCCTGAATGATCGTCATCTACAGCACGTCACCGCTATCATCAGCGGTGGACACTCGGCACGCATCGGCAAGTCTGTCTCACCGAATCCCATTCACGTTAATAACGAGCCCGGTATTGGGGATACAATATCATCAAATACCAATCACCAATTATCAACGAATTTACACTCGGCAGGAGTATTGCTCCCAGCTTGGGCTCTTTCTGCGGAACTTGAAAATTTCTTGGAGCCTCCGCCCCCACCAGCTCCATCATCACACCCTACGATACCGACCAGGACGAACTCTCTCGGCGAACAACAGTCACAGCAACAACAACAACAACAACAACAGCAACAGCAACAACAACAACAACAACAACAGCACAATAATCTGCAATCATCTACAATCAGTCAGCAACTGTCCTCCCGTAGCCCGAGTCACAATGGTCACGGATTCCCCCTCTACACTCCACCAGCTCCAATACCAGCATCCGGGGCAAATAAAATTCGCTCTACTCCCAACGGATTATCACAACCAACAGCACCGCGACGTCCTCATAGTATTGCCGCTCCACCATACCATCTCGGAATCACCTCTCTCCACCAATCATACGGTCAGCTCCCTTGTAGAACAACATCGTCGGCATTATCATCATCATCAACGTCATCATCAACAGCACCACCACCACCACCACCATCAGCATCAGCAACATCAGGACCAACAGCAAATCCATCAGATACATCTTGGGCAACGATCGGTTCAACAACAAATTCATCATCAAACGGTTTATCCGGGATGGTACAACGGCGTGCCCATTCGGTCGCCGGTACTCCAGTATCTCTATCCACCGGTTGCAACGACGACAATGACGGTGGCGTCGGCATCCCAATACAACAGGAATCAAGAAGCAACGGGTCAGCGCTCTGCAATAAGAACGGCATCACCGTGGTATCCTCGAGTCGCAGCGTTGTACCACCCCAATCTTTGTGGAACGGGCAACTTCAACAGCCCGTACCTAGGCGGCCACACAGCATCGCCTCCACACCCGTTACAGGTTCAACAGGCACGCCTGTTTCATCTTCAACAGTTACATCAGCCGGCTTGTCCTCAGCCACTCGTATACCAGGCGAGCCCATACAATGGGGTTCCTCAGGGATGGTGTTGCACCAACCCATACCTCGCAGGGCGTATCCCTCGACCCTTCCACATCCACAACCACCAACGCCCACGACACAAGGGCCCGGCTTGAGCGTTCTCGTTAATCCTGGAAACTCAAACACTTGGACACCAGGCGCCGGACTTCGAGCAAGACCCCATAGTATAGCATCCACTCCACAGGGTGCACCAATTCCACCAGCCTCGCCCTCGGACTCTGGCTATCGATCTTTACCTTCTGCATCGAGCGATTATCAAATATTAAAATCACCGTCGAGATCTCAACAGCGCAACAAATCTAACCAATGTCAACAACAGCAACAACAACAGCAACAAAGTGCAGTAAGACGTCTTTCTCTTCCATCCGCTCAAACTCTTCTTCGTACCAACGCACCAAGACCAAGTCCAACATTCCACGGGCTTCCGTTTCGACCGTTTACCTGCGGAGTTTCACCTAACGGCAATCCCATTTTTTTGGGATGCACTCATCTCCACGGTGGTGGATCAGGAAGCGGTTCAGCCAGCGGTTCAGGAAGCGGATTCGCCACTGGCAGCACCGGCACCAGAACTTCAACACCGGCAACTAGTCCAGCCACGCCTCTAACTACCTCCCAAGCTATACAACAGCTATTGGCACAACCACGGAACGGCTTCAAAATCGTCGACGACAAGGTATCGCTCTTCATCGAGATCCTCGACACGCAAGAACGATTCGCTAAGGTCAGTGGTAAAGGTCCACGGCTTTGACGAGCCGCTTTTAACGAATCGCGAATCGCGTAAGCAATTTACGGAAAAATGAAAATGTCTCTAGAAATGATTAATTAACCGCACAGGTACAAAAATATATTTTTTCCAAATTTCAAATATCAAAAGCAAACAAAACGCAGACATTTCCTTGCTAACAAAATGACAAAAGAATTTTCAGGATTTAAGGAATTGAAATATTACTCGTTCCTCTCTAGTACGATACGACGACATTCATCGAACTTGCACTACACAATCGTTTTGCAATGTACCAACGAAATACCATACCCATCCACGAGTACATATCTCGATGTTCAGTTCTTCCCAGTGCTCGTAGCTGCTAGCAGACGAGTTATTTTTGATCGTTTTAAAATATTGCCTCGGATAAATCAAAGGGCGCGACTACTATCATCGTGATGGCGCACGATGCCTGGCTTGTATCGACTATCGATACGCAACTCATACAGAAGTGTGTGTTTGCGCACTCGAAACTCACACGTGCATGTCTAAACTATTACGGAACATGAATTTCATCCACGCGCGCGTGTTCCATCTCCTCTTCCTATTTCCGAATATAAATTATCTATTAAAGGAGAGAAAGAGATTAAAGCGTTTAGACGGTGGGTATAAGCAAACGCGTTAAGAGTGCCGAGGAATGAGGTGGGTGGTAAAGGGGAAGGGAGTTACATAGTGGTGGGTGTATACGGGAAAACCCTTATCGAATTCAAGGCTCGTTCGCGTACGGTCTAACTTACTTTCATCTTTTAGCTTTCTCGGTAATATAGCACTCTCACGAGTACGACGTAGAAATAATCCTATCTATAGGGGTAACCAACCCTAGCTTATATTCTCTCTCAACTACGATCGCGAGTCATACATAAATCTGGTGATTTTGAAAAATAAATGAGACACCTTCACTGCCTCCGTGGTGTATCTATTTTAACGCTCGATCGATCGATAGATCGATGGTTATATATATAGATAGATAGATAGATCTTTACCACACTCATAAAGTCTTACGAAGGAACCAGGATAAGTTAATGGAAGTGGTATATCGAATCCTTTCGGAACTTCTTGTTATAAATATTATATATAAATAGTTTAGTACTTGTGTAGATGTATGTATGTATGTATGTATGTATGTATGTATGTATGTATGTATGTATGTATGTATGTATGTATGTATGTATGTATGTATATATATATATA